TGATGCTTGGGGTAAGGTTGTCCACCTTGGTATCCATTTGGTGTCTTCAAATATCCAGCCCCACTCAGCTGGGGAAGGAACTTGAGGATTCGCTGTAAGTGGTTGCCCCCAAATAAATACAGCTTGGTTTATGACTCTCTTCCTATGCTGTAAAAGGGCATCTAATGTTGGAGGAATGTGTGATATTATTGAAGTCCTCTTTGTGAACATCTCCTTCCTCGCAGCATTAATTGATGTTTCATTGCTTGTTTTAAGTTGTAGACCAGAATAATGAACTGCTCTAAAATAGGCATGGCATCAAGCAGGGTATTTGGTCGTATTGAGATTTCTGTTAATACTGTAGTCAATTCAGGTTAGGTACTCCATTGGTTCCAGGCTGATGTCTTAGACTTTCCATTAAAGCCTGATGTGGTGTCACACCCAGTCATAGCATGGAATATTGGGAAACACATGGCTTTCTGAGGAGTCATTACATGGGCAATTTCGTGGGCTGGAAGGTATCTATAGGACTTTCCCTTGCCAAAGGCGAGCCAGATTTGAATGTTAAGTTGTACTAACTGCCAGAACAACAGTGTCTCAATCAACTGTCCTAATTGTCATTTTAGTGAAGCCTTTTTTCATTGCATCATACTGTATATGTGCAGAAAGATTCGGGAATCTGCCTCTTCAAGGGATGATGTTGAAATCTCAGAAACATGCTGCTTAGGATATGCCTCTGCAGAATTCCAAATTGTTGTAATCAGGATTTTATTCTCTGGTACTGGAATGACTGAGACATTTGATGCAAGGAAGGTAAAGAGATCACTTTTCTTGTCATCCGAGCGTAGAAATTCTGGCCAATTCCCTGGAAATTTGTTTTCTGGATAAACTATTTGACGCTTTCCAGATCCACGCTTTTTTTGTTGAAGATTTGACACTATTTGGTATATATTGATCCCATACAATATCAAGTCTTTGTACTCTATTAAGTTGATCTGCAGCATACTTATCAAATATGTCATTTGAGTATTGTAGGAAGGTTCTTGCTTCTTGAGTTTTCAGCAGGTGGACTATTACGGCACCATCAAGAAACAGGGCTTCAACATCTGGTGTATTGATATCTCTATTTGGAACAAGGTCTTCCACTGGTTTTAAGATATTTGCTTTGAGTCCAGTCTTGATTGTGCCATCTTGTGAAAGGGATGGAGGTGGTGCCTGGTTCTCATGTCAGAAAAGTTCATCTAAGTTGCTGTCTCTATTCTGGCACGCTATGTATAGTTGTGAAAATAGGGCAGTGTCATTTTCAAGCTTGCTAGCTTTGAAATTGAGTTAGATTTGTTTGAAGATCTTGAAATTGTTTCTCTTGATAGGGTCTGGTGATGGCTTTTGATCTTTCAATAGTTCTCTCCTTCACATTGACTTTTCCCCTTTTTATTCTCAATTGTGTTCAATGTGTCAACTGCACTGCTTGACATTACATCTTTAGTATCAAGTGTCCAAAGTTCGTTTGATGTTGCAATAAAGGGGTTTCCTAAATCATTGATAACCTCAGTAAGGGAATTGACATATTTGTTGAAACTGGTTTGATAACTAACACTGTGCTCATGGTTTGCAAGGACTTCATCATCATTATCCTTCATCTCATCCTCAAACTCAGTTAACATTCTTGCGATCTCTGGACCACCGACCATCCACTTCTGTAATGCGATTGAATTGTCGGACAACCCCACAGCTCCACCCTCACTTTTGATCACACTATTATTTTGCTTATGGGCTTGGTCTATTGACATGGGGGAGAAGCTTCTTCTTGACTTGCTGACAGTGAAATGCCCCTTCATGAAAGAATTGTGAACTTCAGGGTGGATTTCTTTGAGCTGAACATATCACTTACATGGACAGGTGATAGTTTCTTTGTAGAGCTTGAAGTCACCAAGTCTCACAGCTCTAGTTATTATCTGTTAGACACAGAACTTGTAATACTCCTATTCACGATAAGAGTGCAGGTGGTAATTTACATAAATATCTCCCATGATGCATCGCTTTGGAAGGGACAAATTTGCATTGGCTCGCCGAACAAGTCGATTACTCTGAACGTTTCTCAGCTTCTGATCTTCCATCAGCCCTCAAGCATAGTTATATGATCCAATCTATTCAATAATCTGAAGGATAATCGGAGATTCAAAGTAACATTATTTATATTTTTTCGATCTTCGATGGTGTCTGAGCAATTTCTGGGATATCAGTGACGTCACTGGAATTGGATGGCATTTTCAACTACAGATTTCTTCGGATTTGGGGATTATAGTTCAAAAAGCTTTGTCATATATCTTAATTACATGCATACCTATCATTTGTGCAAATGAAACTCTGCATAAATGTTTAATAGAGTCGCAGTGCGGCATTGAAAATAGCACCCCTGTGTAATCCAATGGGAAAGAACCCGGATGTAGACGAAGTTGTACCATACGTGAGAGCTCTTCAAACGGGAGGTAGCTAAACTGAACTAAATTAAACATTATCACGTATTGGTATATTGGAGTACCATGTACCAGAATTTGAATATAGGTGACCCTGTTTCTTCACTCTGCTATCTGGTATCTATCCAAGATTCAAAATCAAGAGGCAAAATTGTATTGATTGGTAATCTACCTGAAATCTACCAGGTAAGAAGACCCCCTCCCAATACACATAACACTCCTTCTTAATTCAAAACTGCCCTTATTAGACCAACAATATCATATTTTAAAACATAACAGTGCATCAAAATAAGCAGAACTACTTCTTGATTATTTTTATTAATCATGTAGGTCAAAATCATACTTACAAAAACTGATCTAGATCCTATCATAAACGTTGATGCTCATTGTCACTCAAGCATGACCTTGTCAAAAACAAGAAGTGATTTTGGTAGTTGTTTAAGAAAGATACACTTTTTGCTAGATTATTCTGTATTTGCATTCAAGTCACTCATCAGATGTCACATAGTTCGTCAAACTTTATTTTAAATTAAAATGACATTATTTATTATGCCACTCTGGAGATAAAAGGAATTAATTAAAGATAAGTAAATATTCATTTTGCTAAAAAATGACTGCAATCTCACTCATTATCATGTATATCATGGTAAAAGGTCCCAATATTGAAATTATGATACTATTTAATGATAATCCTAAAAAGTTATGGATGGCCATTAAGCCTACCCCTATAAATTTTAGGGGTAGGGGTAAAAATTGCGAAAAGTAGATAAAAAATGAAGGAAATTTTCGGCACAGTTGCTTTTTACACCCAGGAAGGTTGTCTGGTCACATATGGAAAGTTCCACGATTTGTTCCGTTTTCAGCGCTTTCGCCTAAATATTTGATGATTAAGAAATTTCAACTTTTTTTGAAAAATGGCGGGAAATTTGAATATTTGAGAAATGAAATGCTCACAACTTTTTTTCAAAAAATGTTTTTTGTTCAAAAATCTCTAAAATCACTTTTTAAGTCCTGACAAAGAGTAAATGAATGATAAAAAAATATTTTCAAACTTTAGACGGGGACTTTAACAATGGCATCTGGCTGATAAATTTTTTGTTAAAAACTGATTGCAATTTTGAAAAAATACTCATCAGCCAGGTGCTGGTATAATAAAAAATGAGAGAAAATGTGACAATGGCAGAAGGAAGGAGAAGTATATCAAAAATCACCGATTCAAAATACAAATTAGCATTAACTTTATCTCTAAGTTAAGACTAATCATCTGCTAATTCTAAAGGAGGAGGGAAAGTATAGCAACAGATTCCGGACAGTCATATGTTGGATTTTTGCTATTTTCTATGGATTTAAACATGTGCATATATTAGATCAATGCATTACCTCCAGGAAAATCACTTCTAGAGATGATAAAAGGGGTTTAAAGGAGTCCTTTAAATGTGTTAACTGTGTGTCAAAACACAACATATTGATGCAAGAGAAATTAAAAAGCAAGGGTGGAAGGGGTTGAAAATCAGAAAACATTTTAGAAAAAACATGTGGGTAGGTTGTTTGCATCTTCCCTGTCTCAAAGTCGAAATTATTTTATAAAGTTTTAAAAAGACATTTTATAAATGTCTTTATATTTCATAAAGAATTAGTTAACATTGCTACAACTGAATGTATCTGATTACAGATGTATCTGACAATGGATGTATCTGATTAAGCTTAAAGGACAACTGAAATAGCTTTTCTCAACTTGTAGCTACAAAAATGCGGTTTTCTCCATTGTAAGCCCAACGTAGAGTTCTTGAGATAGCCATTATAAAATAAATGTTAGATAACTGCTAACGGTCATAGATAGCGAAATAGAACTAACTGATCAATCAAATTGGCCCCCACGTGATTAGTGACGTCATATACAAAATATAGCTTTGGTTTATTGATTCCTTAGTGATCACAACGTCACGGCAACCATAGGATTGTTGTGTAAACAAATAACAATACATTTTGGCATTATGACGTCATGATCCAATGGACCAAAACGGGCCACGTGGGGGCCAGTGAGAGATCACGTGGGGGCCAATAATGTCACAACCAATTCGAATATTGCTTATTAAGCAGCTATAACGATCGTTAGAGTGAAATAATTTTCACATTTCTGATGAGAAAACATGTCCAAATGCATTTATCAAAAAATTATATTGATTCCTTTAGGTTAAAAATACCATTTCATATCTGCTTTAAGATGCATGTGGTAATCACTTCTTTAAGTAACACCTTTAGAGGCATGCTGAAATCTGCTGATAAGACAATAAAACATGCAGTATTACTTTAAAATACAATGGAAGTCAATACAAGTTAAGCAAGTTGTCCTTTTACTAAAATATAACAAAAAACTTTATTTAATTTCACTTCAGAAATGATCAATGCTCTTTTGAAAGGCTACTGGATGTTAAAGATCATTTGGTTAACTATTAACGTTTGTGGCAAGATTACATGCCACCATACACATTATAACTTCACTGAAGATTCTAGAATATTAGGTATTAGGGCAGACAAGGTACATATTCATAAATTACATGTAATTATACAAAATATAGCTAACACATAACAAACACAGTGATCTCCCCAGAATTTTTTCTCAGGTGGGTGCAAACTTTTTTATGCAAATATTTGTTGCTCGCATGGTGCTCGCATGGTACATGTGAACTAAATGTGAAAAAGTGACAGCTTGAAAAATTAGAATGTTTGCAAATGACTCAGGGGTAAACATAATACCCAAAATGTGCCTGTTCACAAATATCATACATTTAAGTTAATCAATTATGCAGCTAATGCCATGAACAGAATGCAAAGACAAAGAGTAAATAAAAGAACCCCAAAACAGTGTTGAAAACACTGCCTAGGACTGGGAAAACTACCCCCTTTATCCATTAGTGTAATAAAGGCCAGCCCCAGAAGTGGGTTAATTTTTTTTGGTACACATACTAAGCACCAAGTAATAAATAAACTCTTGATAGATTTCTTAAAACATTTTACAAGGCAAAGTGACACTGATCTACATGATCTCAAGCAAAACATACCATAATCGCTGTATTAAGGGCCCACCCCACTTCACAGAGCTCAAGAAATTTCGAGGAATGACTAAGTATTAATGAATATATCAGAAAAAATGTAATTTCCAAAGAAATATAGTGGGCGATAATAGAGTGCTTACACTAAAATGCAGAAAATGTGACGCATTTTGCAATTCGATGCATCCTCCCAATAAATATCTCTCAGTGGTGCTTCCCACATCATACTAAACTAATATTATCTCAAAATAGTCCATAATAAATGAAGGAAATGTTCACATTTCAGAGTTTTGTTTCGACATTTTTTCTAAATAGTCAGTGTCACCGACTTCCTTCACCTCAAGGGGCTCTGCTATGGAGTTCTTCAATCACTGTCAATATAGTTAAATATTATTTTTGCGATCTTTACCATATTCTCTCCAATAATGATGCATATCATTATTGTAAAAATATGCTGTTACTTTCGATTTGATGTTGCAAATAAGTAATTTTTTGCAAGAAAAATTCTCATACATGAAATTCCTGGGGAATTTTTTACTTCGTTCATATATGGGCGCTCTTTGTAATGAGTTACATTGGGAATTTCAATTTCAAAAGTGCCCTGGGTGCTTTTATGGCGAATACGGTATTTGATTTTTCATCTGATGGCCTTTAACAAGAACATATGTAGGAGATTGACATATCAATCAGACCTTGTTTAAACGCATTCAATTTTTCGTTTAAAACCCAAGAATTTATCTATTGAAAGGCTACTGGCACTTCATGTCGAGGACACTGATACTGCCAAGCACAGTTAAAGTACACGAAACAAGTTCAACACAGACAAGGAATACTGCACTATGGGAGATATCAAAGCATTAGAAGAGATTGCCCAGGCTAACCATGATGAGTTTGACAGAAGATGGAATATTCCAGGAAGAGATTGGGATAAGTTTGTTGAGGACATGTACTCAACAGATTGCAAAGCCTTTCCTCCAGGATATCCTCCTGCTTTCACTAGACAAGGTAACTAACCAGAGTGCTCTTATGAACTCCTGGATATCAAATCGTTTGTTCAAATGATTAGCATAAAATAAGTACCAACGAAAAGTTCTAACAAGCAAGTCCAATATCCTGTTTAGAACACCTATTTTGACTTTTGAAAATGGATTCTAGCAATACTCACCATATTTACTGTAGATACAGGATGAAATCAATTGCATCCCCATTATAAGTCAATGGCACCCTTACCGAAATCCTCATTTTCTCAGAAGAACTCAAGTTGATTGATCAGTCTCAAGAAGAAGATTCATGTTGGTGAGTATTGCTAGAATCCATTTCAATAGTTAGAATAGGGGTTCTTAAACAGGACATTAAAGCTTAACTAAGGCCTTTTTGAAATTTTTGTTTGGTACTAGTAAAAATAAAATACTTTTACAAGATGAAGACCAACAAAGTAACACATATTATAGGTGTTAAATTATATCTTTTGGTGCTTAGAAATGAAAGCATCGTGCTCTTTGCAAGAAAAATATCCTGGGTGAATATGAGATGACTCATGCTAGTGGACGTAAAAGGCGTATGTATCAGATGACTCATGCTAGTGGACGTAAAAGGCGTATGTATCAGATGACTTATGCTGGGTGCATGTAAAAGGCGTATGTATCAGATGACTTATGCTGGGTGCATGTAAAAGATGTATGTATCAGATGACTTATGCTGGGTGCATGTTAAAGATGTATGTATCAGATGACTTTTGCTGGGTGCATGTAAATGGTGTATGTATCAGATGACTTATGCTGGGTGCATGTAAATGGCGTATGTATCAGATGACTTATGCTGGGTGCATGTAAAAGGCGTATGTATCAGATGACTTATGCTGGGTGCATGTAAAAGATGTATGTATCAGATGACTTATGCTGGGTGCATGTAAATGGTGTATGTATCAGATGACTTATGCTGGGTGCATGTAAATGGTGTATGTATCAGATGACTTATGCTGGGTGCATGTAAAAGGCGTATGTATCAGATGACTTATGCTGGGTGCATGTAAAAGGCGTATGTATCAGATGACTTATGCTGGGTGCATGTAAATGGTGTATGTATCAGATGACTTATGCTGGGTGCATGTAAAAGGCGTATGTATCAGATGACTTATGCTGGGTGCATGTAAATGGTGTATGTATCAGATGACTTATGCTGGGTGCATGTAAAAGGCGTATGTAACAGATGACTTATACTGGGTGCATGTAAATGGTGTATGTATCAGATGACTTATGCTGGGTGCATGTAAAAGGCGTATGTATCAGATGACTTATGCTGGGTGCATGTAAATGGTGTATGTATCAGATGACTTATGCTGGGTGCATGTAAATGGTGTATGTATCAGATGACTTTTGCTGGGTGCATGTAAATGGTGTATGTATCAGATGACTTATGCTGGGTGCATGTAAAAGGGGTATGTATCAGATGACTTATGCTGGGTGCATGTAAAAGGCGTATGTATCAGATGACTTATGCTGGGTGCATGTAAAAGGGGTATGTATCAGATGACTTATGCTGGGTGCATGTAAAAGGCGTATGTATCAGATGACTTATGCTGGGTGCATGTAAATGGTGTATGTATCAGATGACTTATGCTGGGTGCATGTAAAAGGCGTATGTATCAGATGACTTATGCTGGGTGCATGTTAATGGTGTATGTATCAGATGACTTATGCTGGGTGCATGTAAAAGGCGTATGTATCAGATGACTTATGCTGGGTGCATGTAAATGGTGTATGTATCAGATGACTTATGCTGGGTGCATGTAAAAGGCGTATGTATCAGATGACTTATGCTGGGTGCATGTAAGTACATGAGATGGTGAAGATGCTTAGCTGGGGACTTCATCACATGATATCATTTGAATTTTTTACATTTCAGCCATTAATGCAGTGTTTAAGACCTTCCCTGAAAGGCATCAATTGATGATTTGCGGTCACCGAATGGATTCTATCTTTTAGTGACGTCACAATTAGGCCACTCAGCTTTAGATGCTTGATTTTGAGAGATTATCTTCTATATTTCGTGCTTTATTGATTTATTTTTCATGAAAGCGTTCGATTTGACTAGATCAACATTCATGCTAAGCACATACCAAGTCCAAGATCTTACTGACATGATTTAGATAGCGGTTAAGCGCCCCCTGATTTTGACAAAAACGGGGGCGCTTATAGGCATCGATGTTTAGTATGAATTTCACCCAAACTTCGCGCATATATAGATATACTCATGATCTAGTCAAATCGGCATACCTGGTAAATATCCGACAAAGAAACGACAATATTTTTAGCTCAAAACTGCCACGTGTCTGCCATTTCGTGATTCATGTCATCATGTCTAATATCATTTCTATATGACGTCACACCAATAAGATGAAAAATACGTGGCAACAGTATCCATAAACAAAATTCCTGAATTCTGATCGCAAAAAGTCAATTGCACAGCAAAGTACATGAGGTGGTGAAGACTCTTAGCTGGGAACATACTTCATCAAATTCTTTACATTTCAGCCATTGCTGCAGTGTTTAAGACCTTCCATGAAAGGCATCAATTGCATAGCAAAGTACATGAGGTGGTGAAGATAGGGGAAGACTCCTTCCTGGCGACATATTTCATCAAGTGTACAATAGATGGCAAGCAGGTTGACCAACTCACGTATGTCTATAACATGTTCTTCATTTGCCATCATATCTCAAGCTAATATTATCTCAAAATAATCCATAATGAATGAAGGAAATGTTCACGTTTCAGAGTTTTGTTTCGACATTTTACTAATTAGCGATCGTCAATTTCATGAACTTTCTTGTTTCTTTTTAAGATTTCCCGACTTTTACATCACTTTTACATGAAAAATGATGATCTGTAATCAAATTAAAAAAATAAGGTATAACTTTAGATCGATATCTTACAGTCTATAGTGGAAATATTGAAGATAAATGCAGAAAACAATTCATTCACATCGATCCTGTAACATTGCGCTTTGTAGAACCGTTGAAGTATGGCGCAAGGAGAATGGACAATGGCGATTGCACAGAGATTCTTGGAACAGTGACTTCCCACCACCAACAACATCTGATAATAAAAGCTGAGAACAACATCCAAGAAACATTGAGGACATAACAGTCATGCACATGAAAGGACTTCAGAAATCTATATTATGAAGATTAGTATATCTAGTACTGCCACAAACATCAGAGCGAGAACAACGATACTTTTGGAACAGAGACTTTATATCATATACAATGTACTACTATGTATTATTTGATAATCAATGAGGCTTAAAGGTTTGACCTAAATCCTGTGGATGCCCATTTTATTGACACAACACCCAGAAATATTGAAGATAATAATACTGCAAAGTGGAATTATTGTCCAATTTATCAGATTTCACCTTTGAAAACAGATATTTGGAACTACCTCCTCATGTTCAGATATTTATGGGAATTTATTATTTTCACATTAAAATCTCTTGCCAACTTGCTATTGTAATCTGGAATAAATTAAATCAATAAATATATAGTGTGTATATAAAAAACATTGAGGAGTTCCCTTGTTAAAGTTGTTTCATATGTTACAATAATCTAACTAGACAACAGCAACGCCAAAGCGTAGCACATCCCATTGAACAGCCATGGCTTGCATTTTTACAAACAAACGGACAGACAGATGTATGTTCGGACATACGTACTGACAGACGGAGACGTTCCCTATATCTTCATTCATTATCGAACAACTTAATGCATACTACATATGTAGATTCGATAAAACCTTATTAAATTGATTCATGTCCAAACTGCATGTGGTACTTTATATATATCACACTGTTAGTTCAAGAAATACAGTGTTCAGTTCATAGTACATGTATATACTACTCCTCATTGAAAAATTGAGGATTTAACCAGATATCACTGCAAATATAGGACCATCACGGACGGAAGCTAGGATTGGAAACAAGAAGCATTCAAAAAATGAAGTTACCTTTTTTAATTCCCTAACCTTAAGTAGCTCATCTTGGTGACTGAAACTTGCACAGTTGTAGTAACTAGCCAGGCCTGTCAACTTGGGAACACCTAACATGAGTGACTTGCAAATGTTGAACACCTTTGTTCAAATTTTGGACACATTGGTCAAAATCTGAACAGCTTGGCCATAATTAATATTTCAGGGAAAATGCGTGACATATACAGTATCCGCGTGAAAAGTCCGAACGTAATGCGTTCATTCTTTTTCGGCGTTCTGTTTTGTGCTGTATCGGCGATCATTTTTGAAAGTTTTTCTACAGGAATATTTTTGCTGGACAATAATCAGGTAAAATGCGTATTTGCGTGACATATTCTGTCACGCAAAAAAAACTGATGTGACTTCAAATTTTACAGCAAATGCTACCCTTTGCATTCGTTTGACTTCACTTCTTAAAAGAGAGCTTCGTCTTCACTCTTTCAAACTAAAAACAAACCTGTGAACTCACCGCGCCAATCAGTGTTCGTTGGCCAAATTAGACCGACGTTCTATATATGGTCATTCCTTCTGAATTGACCAATATCATGCTCATATTTAATTAGAATGCATTTGGCGTATGTTTCTTCAAGCTCGAATGGTGGAAGAAAGGTCAGCGCATAGGTCAGAAGTGATTTATTACCCAAACTGTCACCTACGGTACCCGTCGTGGGGGCGGGGCTACTAAACTGTAATAAGGTCTCTACTAGGCAGAGTGTAGTTTAACTAGACTCTGCACGCAGGGTAAGCAAATGCGTGACAAATACGCAAATTGCAGGACAGTTGGTCGGCCTGCTAGTGTCTTATAGCATCCCATGAGCTGAAACTTTTAAGTAAAAATATATTTTTGGCTCACACAGTGACCTTGACCACGGGTGATCATGAGAATTCGATACAGAAAATCTATATCATACTGCTTCTCCCTATATCTTATGCTGTATATTATAATTTCTCTCAATTTTGGGAAGCTATGGCCGCCGAAAGGTTGCCATAGATCAAATGTGACTAAGGTCATGTTATTCAATGAAATCTTGTCACGGCAAGTGACAAAAGTATTAAATACATTTACAAATGTTTGTGAATATATTTCAGATAAACCAACGAGGCTGACTGTTTTGTATTAAAATTCTATTTGCAACTTGGAGTTCATCTAAAAATCTTTAGATATGTAGTAAATCTTAAAAACATGCCAAAACTTTCTTTCTCTAAATTCTTTCTCAAGGTCTTTACTCTATGAACATTCATGATTATTCTATTTGACTGACATTCTTGCTGTCATATTTTCTCACAAAAAAATTATAATTTCTGCATGAAATGGGGCACTGAAAGAAACACTTTCAGATTGAACTTCACTGAATATTTTGATGTACTTAACACGTCTTTTGATATTTGATAAATGATTAATATTCAATCAACTAAAGTTGTTCTAGATAAGAGATAACAAGGTCACCATGATAAGCTAATATTCTCTGCCCATGAAGCATAAGCCTATACAATCTGAACCAAATCTGGAAACTAGAGTTACCTGTTATTATTTTTTCTACAAAAAATTGTCACAATTTTGACCATAATGGAAATTCCTCAAGGCATTATCCTATAAATTCTGAAAACTGGTTATTGCATGGACACATAATTTGATGGACCAACTCACTGACGGACAGATGCCTTTTCTATACAGGGTGTCTCAAAAAAGAAAACCGAGATTAAATTGCTAAGTTCTCAAAGATGAACAATGTTAGGGAAAACTTGCAGGTACCATCATTTATGTCATTATGTCCTCTTTCATATGGTACCAAAATGTTCTAGTTTCCTCTATAAATGCCTGAGCAATAAGGGATTTAAGTGACCATGTCAGAAATGGGTTTGAGCCACTTTCAGCCATTAGTTAATTTTACCATCATAACAATGTAACAACAACAAACATTAGGATATTACTCTTTCACTCATTTATTCCAATTTAAGTTACCCATATCATATTTAACACCACTTTTAAATGCCAATGTCCATTTAAAGTTATATTAACTCCAGTGTCCTTCAACATGACCCCATTCCTTTCAATGCAAATGTCTCATTGCAAATACTGCATCCCTGATGATGTCTCTCTGTCCCCTTAGATCCTCCACTGTTGCAACAATCCTGACCCTTAGATCATCAACTTCTCTTGGTGATGTTGTATACATTTTTACCATGAGATAACCCCAAAGGAGGAAGCTGCAGGGTGTGACTGAAACCATCCTGGCATAGCCATTTTAATCCCTCATTGTCCAGTCATTCATGAAAGAAAAAGTGGCACAAATCCATTTCTGACATGGTCACTTAAATCGCTTAAAACTCAGTCATCCGTTCAAGAAAATAGACAAGTTTGGTATCATAAGAAAGAGGACATCATAACCTCTCAGATGGTAGCTATGAAATTATCCTATTATTACTTATATTTGAGAAATAAGCAATTAAATCTCGATGTCCTTTCTTGAGACACCCTGTATACATACTCAGATTTCAACTAGAAAAAAACAGCAACTCCACGGAGTAGCAAATCCCACCGAACAAAAACATATTTAGATTATTAGTGGCCATCTTGAAAATTCCTTCTTGAGCAGAGCTTGTTTGTCCCTAAGCATCAACATATAAAATGTAAACCATATCCATAAATTAAATTTGAGTTATCAAAGATTACATTCTTTTTTACTAAAAATGGCGGCCAACTCTGCAATCATTTTGAAAATCTTTCTCGAACAGAGCTATAGTGTCCCTAGGTATCAGCATATAAAATTTGAATTAAGAAAAATGGCAACCATTTTGAAATTCAGCTGCCATTTTGAAAATTCTTCCTCGAACAGAGCTACTGTGTCCCTACTGTGTTCGCTGGTATTAGAGTTATCAAAATTTTGTGTTTTTTTTACGAAAAATGGCCACAATTTTGAAATTCAGTGGCCATCTTGAAAATTCATTTTTGAACAAAGCAACTGTGTCCCTAGCCATCATCATATAAAATTTGAACCAAATCCGTTCACTGGTATTTGAGTTATCAAAGATTATGTTTTTTAACGAAAAATTGCCGTCATTTTGAAATAAAGTGGCCATCTTGAAAATTCTTTGTCGAATATAGCAACTGTGTCCCTAGGCATCATCATATAAAATTTGAACCAAATCCGTTCACTGGTATGTGAGTTATCAAAGATTACGTTTTTTACGAAAATTGGCCGCCATCTTGAAATTCAGCCGCCATCTTGAAAATTATTTCTTGAACAGAGCTACTGTGTCCCTAGGCATAACCATATAAAATTTCTACCAAATCTGTTCACTGGTATTTGAGTTATCACGTTTTTTAAGAAAAATTGCCGCCATTTTGAAATTCAGTGGCCATCTTGAAATTTTTTTGTCGAACATAGCTACTGTTTCCCTAAGCATATCATCATATAAAATTTGAACCAAATCCGTTCACTGGTATTTGAGTTATCAAAGATTACATATTTTTACGAAAAATGGCCGCCATTTTGAAATTAAGCGGCCATCTTGAAAATCTCTTTTTGTGCAAAACTCCTTTGTCCCTAGGCAACAGCATATAAAATTTGAACCAAATCCGCAAACTAGTATTTGAGTTATTAAAGATTACATTTCTACGAAAAATGGTGGCCATTTTGAATTCAGTGGCCATATTGAAAATTTTCTCGAGCAGAGGTCCTCGGACAGCTTTGCTATATCCCTCTCGAACTTCGTTCGGTGGGATAATAAGTGAGGTATTTATCATTAGTACAGTATATTAGATTTATACAGCATTGGAGTTTTGATATTGTCAATGTTACCATACATGTCAAGTACCATACATGTACATCACCTAATAAGGAGTATAGAAAATGTACATGAACAAATAATGAGTAAAACGGATGCGCAGAACATTCCAAGCATAGGAGACATTAAAGCATTAGAAGAGATTGCCCAGGCTAATCATGGTGAGTTTCACAGAAGATGGAATATTCCAGGAAGAGATTGGGACAAGCTTGTAGAGGACATGTATACTTTAGATGCCGCAGCCTTCCTAGGAGGGCATCCCCCGGCATTTAATAGACAAGGTGAGTTTAGAAAGTGAATAAAATCAGGGGACTATTTTTTTAGCAAAAGAATAGTGTAGGTATCCTTTTCCTGTTTTCAAAAATACCACATCACACATTTCAAAATAATAGGTAACTGGTAAAAGTAAAACAACCTCACTACAGTAGAACCTGTATATCTGAACACCTGGCTAATCCGAACACCTTCCAATTTGAACACTTTTTTTCGGTCCCATTTTTCCATCCATTGACTCCCATGTTAAAAAAACCTTGAAATCTGGATACCTCCTAATCTGAACAGTGAACAACCAGAAAGTGAATAAAATTAGGGGACTATTTTTTAGCAAAAGAATAGTGTAGGTATCCTTTTCCTGTTTTCAAAAATACCACATCACACATTTCAAAATAATAGGTAACTGGTAAAAGTAAAATAACCTCACTACAGTGTATTAAAAAGGTTCTGAGTAAAGAGAAATGTGACCTTCTCTAGTCAGCTCCCAGGTCTATCCATTACCATACTAAAACACAGTAAAGATTAAAGATAAAATATACCTAATACCTAATACCCCCTTCCCTATACTTCATCAAATTATTTTATTTGAATTATATGCATTTCAGCCATTGCTGCAGTGTTTAAGACTTTCCCTGAGAGACACCAATTGCACAGCAAAGTACATGAGGTGGTGAAGATATGGAAGACTCCTACCTGGGGAATACTTCATCAAATGATTTCAATTGAATTCTTTACATTTCAGCCATTGCTGCAGTGTTTAAGACCTACATGAGGTGGGGAAGATAGGGGAGACTCCTACCCGGGGATATACTTCATGAAATGCACAATAGATGGCAAGCATGTGGATACACTCAAGTAAGATTGTGGTAACATCATAAATAAGAATAGAGAATGTACTAAAAATCTTGATCCTTGTAGTTTTAATATCAATTCTGACTAATTAGGTTTATGTTGAAATTATTTAATTTCAAATGAGATATAACAGTGTATTTATATGAAAATTCATCAAATATACCGAAAAATCTTTGAAACATTGATCTTACTGATGATTTTATAATTGATGATGTTTTTGAGGTTTTTTAATTGGTATTCTTCGACAACTAAATATCTATGATTTTCAAACACTTTTCAATTTTCTAAGACAATGTACTTTTGCTTTGTAGAACTGTTGAAGTATGGCGCAAGGAGAATGAACAATGGCATTTGTACAGAGATTTCTGGAACAGTGACTTCCCATCTCCATCAACAAAGGAACCAGCGTCTGATAACTACATTTAGTTTATATTATGGTCCTGTTTCACATTCAGTTAAATGATCTCTGTTAAATAAATTACAAAAATGAAAACTACATGTATGAGTTATTTACACTTAACTATCATCCTTAATCCAAGGGTATTTCAATTCTTCCCATGCTGCTAATAAGCAGTGAAGCCCAATCTTGAAGAATGAGTAAATATATAATGTATACTGTTAGACAATAATCCATTTGTTTATTTACAAGTAAGTGTATATTATTTCCTGGGGGGATAGTCCATCCAAAGCAGTGATGCTTCTGTTGGTACTACTGCTACAATATCCCTGAGACATATTCTCAAGTACATGTATATTTATACCATACTACAAACATAGCTCTTTATCTTCATTATCATATACCTTATCTCCAACACTGGCCCTGAATCCAATATAGGTGCCAATATAGACATGACAGACATGATGATAGACAATGTCTAAACCACGAATTCCTGTCCATTGGCAATCTGTTGATAGCTTCAACCAAAGAATTGGAATGGATGAAATATTCATGTTTGCCAGGATAGACAGAAATTTATTATTGAAGAGTATGCCGGATAAACAGAAATTAATTATTGAAGAGTATATTATTCAGGGTGTTTCATAATGATCATCTATTGTTGGTATATAACCCACATTATCACCATCTTGCGAGGCCTGTTCTCAGGATATAAGTACTGGTTTAGACAGCTTATATTCTACTATGTTGACTTGAACAATAGGTAACGCCACATTGATACCATAGACGGCAACATAGTGAAATTTTGGCACACGGAAGAATTCACTACGTTGCCCATACTGAACAGTTAAGATGGCCACATTTAAAAATGAGGGAACTATTGCAGACCTCATTAACCTATGTACATACTTATGATTTTGAAAGTGGCTAACATGCACTCACTTAATTGAAATTAAATTGCACCTACTTGACAAAATTAGAAAAAACTTTTTAGCCATATGGCGATCAATTTTATTCTGAATTATGAACTTAATAGAAATTTTTGCACCCAGTTGAGGAAATCTCAAGGGAAATACTTAACTCTGACATAATTTAAGAAATTCTCACTTACCTTAACACATAATTCTGAAATATATGAGGATTCATATCAGGATTTGTGAGACATGAGACAATATCCACATGTTACATTTAGCAGCCAGCAGAGCGAAACACTATGAGCTGATAATTAATGACCTGGAACATTTAATTAATAATGTACACACACTATGTAATATATCCAGCAAATCCTGAAATCTCACTATCATACAGATCTACTCTTGCAAATATGTAAAGTAAAACATTTACTTCTTATGCATCTCTCATTAGATGGCAGACATGGCAAGATATAAATCTTGAATTAAAATCTTAGTTACAAAATGAAATTACACAAAAGGCTGTTGTTTGAATTGAGATGAAAATCAAATGGTTCATCTGTAGAGTGCAAGGACATGACTTGTTATAAAATGATAGGAATCCAATTAGACCCAGGTGTTAGAAATTCTTACTTATCATACCTCGCTTATCTGGATGTTTCATAACTATTACCTACTCTATTAGGCAATTTATCAGTTGTGTACAGGTTGATGTTATGAAAGGAGAAAAATCACTAGATGCCCCTAATCAAAAATTCTTTTGTTTCAAAGCAGAACTGGATTCAGAATTATTTTTCTCCTTCCAGACATTTCTGTTCAACAAATGCCTAGAATGTCATTGCGACTTCTCTAACCATTAAGATCTCTCGCAAGCTTTATATAAAGAGGAATAAATACAAACGATAAGAGGAATAAAGATGTAAGAGGTAAACCAGGAAGTTCAAATATTTTTCTGAAAAATGTTAATCACCCCCTCCCCCCTCCATCCATATGGTTTGCCTGGTCTAACAGACTAACATTGTCAGCTGATAACAAGAAGGAAATAAAACTTAACTGTATCATGTTTGTCCCCAAATTGAAATCATTTCTAGGAACTGAAACTCATGCATTCATAGAGCAACTGGCACCAACTGTTAATAATATAAGTTCATCATATTGTATATTATTATTACCAAATTGGGCCATGCCAGTCAAAAAAGATCACAAAAAAGTTGGGAGTCAAATACTCCTTTATATGAATTCAAAATATTCTTCAGACGCAAGATGATGAAACAGATTTATTTCAGTTGATACAACAATACATATTTCTGCCAAAAGTGATTAATTGTTTTGTTATTTCTGAGTCCTGAGACAGTATGTCTCATGAGCTAAAAGTTTATTTGTCTGTTGGCAATTCCAGACTTTCACACTTATAAGGAAAAGTGTTTCACAAGCTTACCCCAGGAAGTTTAACTATGACTAGTACAAACAAGACAAGTTGTCTGAAAATTACTTTCTTATGACTTTCAAATTAAGGATAATTCTAAACACAAAGCTGGTAGTTGGTAATTAATTGTGGCACACATCAACAATGGAACATGCATTTAGATTGATCATAATAATAACCTGTCTGAGATACATGGATGGTCTGTTATGTCCAACTGGATATAGATTATCCAGAGAAACACTAGTTGTGGATTCTGTGAACTTGACATGGTCTGAGGCTGCAATGGAATGTAGCAGTAGAAATGGAACGATCATCAAAGTGATGGACAATAAGTCTAAGCAGATTGTTAAAGATACAATGGAGAAATACTCACTGGGCAAGGCCTGGGTGGGATATACTGGAGATATTGAGAAAATGTTCGATCAAGATACAAGAGAACCTTACTTCATCATGAAGAATGTCTTAGATAAACAGTTTTATGCTTCTTCATATAAACAATATGCAAAACGTGCTAAAATTGATAGTAAAAGTGCATGGACACCTCAACACATAAGACTTTGTCAATGGGTCCAGATTGATCTCAAGAAAACAATGTGTATTCATGGTATTGTTACAAAAGGACGAAAAGATGCATCTCAGTGGACAAAGGTTTACAAACTACATTACAGAAAAGATACTGACACAAACTTCCTTACACTTCAAAATGATGGAAGAGAAGAACTGATTGCTAATACAGACAGCAATACACCGGTTTATAGAAATTTCACAAAGCCATTCAATGCACAGATCATACGTCTATACCCACAAAAATGGGAAAAAGCTGGAGCAGTAAGATTTGACCTCTTGGTATCAGATAATAGTTGCCCAACTGACTTTACTTGTGGAAAATGTCCAGCTATTGTGACCACAACTACAGGCAATGTGACAATCCAATATGAGTCATGCTGCTCCAAATTACCATACATCTGTGAGACAGAGACATGTGACCAAGACAAGAAAGAATCTTCGACTGCTGCAACTGTCACTAGTGATAACAATCCAGGTGCCAGAAATGGAATCCATTCTCCTTCAAATTCTATCACAACTGGACTCATCATTGGATTAGTTTTCTTCATTATTGTCTCAGTTATCCTACTGATTCTGCTAATCTTTTTAAATCGTAACTTCAGAAACCTGGCAAACACAGCAAAACCAAAGGACACTGATAATCATGAAAGAGAAATAAAAAAGCAAAGTGTGGCAATGGTTACTCCAAACTTACACCTGAAGACTGGACAGGTGAAGGATTTATATTCTCAAGTTGATGTTAAAACAAAATGTCCAAAATCAGGGATGATTTATACAAATACAGAAACATACGATACCATATTTGATACTACACAAGATGCTAAAGATAAAGCTACATATGAAGATGTAGCAACAGATGATATAACAGATACTGAACTGTATCATACTCCAACAGACGTGGATGTGAACAGTGTTGAGCAGAAAGAGGATCATATTGAAATTCCAGATGGAATTGAAATGTTTAATAATGAACTATATTCAGATGCTTAGGTACAAGTGTCTTAATTTTTAGCAGTCCGTGTCATTTCTCTAGATTTTAACCTACAAAGTGTACATATATCTACTATTTCTCAATAACATGTGTTTTGGACAAGTTTACAAGAAACAAGAGAAAGGCAAATTTTATGAGTACACTTGACAGCAGATTCTTAAGAATGTATTACAACAGTTCAGCATTTATTTTTCTAAGCATCACATTTATATCTTTGCAGCTTTTATGCTTTATCCCTTTAACATATGTCAGGATCCTCAAAATAAACATTTACTGTTATTATTTCCTTTCCCATTCTGATTTATCAGTCTCAATGTTCCTTTCCATGTTTAACCAGAATTCCAGGAGCAGAACTATGACATTTTCACTCTGTTTTGTAAGATGTAGGCATTTTTATTTGCTATATAAACCAGTTTCAGTATCTCTGATCTTTAGTTCTACCTGTCATTTAGCCGATTAAAACACACATCATATTGTAAAGCTTAAGAGAATGTTCCTTTCTGAATGATTTATGAATATTTTTGATAGGTCAACAAATATTTAAGATATAGTTCTCTTGTATTAATTGCCTAGATAAATGAACAAACATTTGGCAAGATTTATAAATCAAATGTTTTCTGATTGTACTTGAATAACCAATGTGTGAAATGATATCTGTAACAATATGGCATATACTTGTGCCATACCATGAATATCCTTCCCTACAAGAGTACCCCTCCCCTTTTTGTTAGTTAATATTATATGGTATATTCTACATATATCAAAATATATTGTACAAATGTCCATTTTTTCTATAAAACCCTTTAGGGGTTATTCAAAATATATATTGTCATCAGCATGTCATATTCTTATCTATCTGTGTTTTGCACAACCAGAGAATAAAGCCAGTAATTTTGTTAATATTTATTTGTCCAATTATTATACAGAACCATGGAAACTTCTATAAAATAGAATACCCCTACCCATGGTAGAACAGAGAATGGGGTTAAAATTAATTTCTAGGAATTATAAGAATGAGCAATACAGTACATAAGTAGAGGATATAGTCTGAGGTCCATCTCTTGTTACATTACAGTCCAATTTGATTGGTTTAAACAAAGCCACATGACTCATATATCATTGCAAGGCTTGTCCTTTGCATTTGAATCACAGAATGTGATAGAATATGTTTGATAATTTCTAAAGATATATAGTCCTGTTCTTTCGGAAATACATGTATTTATAATTTTATAAAACTATACTGAAATATTTAGTTCTTCCTTCTTTATTGTTTAGTTATTCTAATTTATGATGGCTTTAACAGTTCATTTAGAGAGTTAATCTTTCGGATTCAAATTAAATCAAAAAAGATCATTTTAACCCAAAGACAGAGAGAACAAGAGGAAATAAACAAAAATCACATTTCCCTTTTCTTAGTTGTTTACAAATGTTTCCAAATATCAAAGTAATTTTAGCTGTCACTGATCATACTCACGATAGTTAGCAAGAACAAGGAAGTTGTGAAAAAGTGATTAATATTTCAGTCAATATGAGCAATAAATTCCTTTGAAAATCAAACCTCATGAATCAACTATTCTTAAGAGTTCAAACTTTATACTTGTATATGAACAAAAGGACTTTGGCATATAAAAAACACTAATCCACAAACAGAAAAACACTTATTGGGTTAGCACCAGGAAGTTTAATTTTACTCAAATAAGTTAAGACTTTCTTTTACATTGAAAATAAAATAAAACTTCATGATGGAACATGTATTCAAATTGATCTTTATAACAATAGTCTCACTCAGAATCACAGATGGCTTGTTATGTCCAGTTGGATATAAATTGATGAGGGACATCGTAGTTATGAACTATACAAACTTGACATGGTCTGAGGCTGCAATGGAATGTAGCGAGAGGAATGGAACAATCATCAAAGTGATGGACAATCGATCTGAACAGACTTTTAAAGATACAATGGAGAAATACTCACTGGGCAATGCCTGGATAGGATATACTGGTGATATTGAGGAAATGCTGGAGCAAGATACAAGAGAACCTTACTTCATCATGAAGAATGTCTTAAATGAACAGTTGGATGCTTCCTCAAAATATAAATGGTGGACATCTGCACAGTATGCTAGAATTAATAGTGAAGGAGCATGGTTACCTGAAAACAAAGAACTCGATCAATGGGTCGAAGTTGATTTGAAAAACACTATGTGTATACATGGTATTGTTACAAAAGGACAAAAGAACTCTAGATACTGGACAACAGTTTATAAACTACATTATAAAAAAGATGGTGACATTAAATTTCTTACAATTCAAGATGATGGGAAAGAAAAATTGTTGTCTGCTAATATTAACAGTGATTCACCAGCTAACAGGAACTTTACAAAGCCATTTGATGCACGGTTTATACGTCTTTATCCACATTATTGGAATTACTATCCTGCATTAAGATTTGACCTCCTTGTATCTAATAATAGTTGCCCAACTGACTTTACATGTGGAAAATGTCCAGCTATTGTGACCACACCAACAGGCAATGTGAGAATCCAATATGAGTCATGTTGCTCCAAGTTACCATACATCTGTGAGACAGAGACATGTGACCAGGACAAGAAAGAATCTTCGACTGCTGCAACTGTTACTGATTCCTCTATTAACAACACCATGAACAATTCCAGCGCCAGAAATGGATTTCCTTCTTCTTCAAATTCTTCCATGGCCATAATAGGACTACTTATTGGATTCGTTTTTTTCATCATTGTTTCATTTATCTTACTGATTCTGCTGATCTTTTCATACTGCAAGCTAAAAAGACTTAAAGATGCCTCGGAAGCAGGAAATCAACATAATATTGACATAAACAAGGGAGAGGTGAACCAAAGTATAGCAATGGTCACAACAGACTTACATGCCAAAACTGAAGCAAATGACCTATACACAGAAGTTGAAGAAGATAGAAGAAAATCAGAGATGATTTTTACAAATACTGAAGCATATGATGCTACATATGATACAACAGATGATGTTAAAGATAATGCAACATATGAAAATGTAAAGACAGACAGTTCTTCAGATACTGTATACCATCAGACTCCTGATGATGAGAATATTTACAGTGTAGAAAATAAAGTAGAGGATAGTGAAATTCCTATTTACAATGTAGAAAAGAAGGTGGATGATAGTGAAATTCCAGATGGAATTAAAATGTTTGAGAATGACATATACTAGTTTACTTATAAAAGATATATCAAAATTATATTTTAATCATAAAAACTGAATATAGGGAATACCGAAAATGGCTTTGCATCTTATAATAAATTGTATTCCGTTATCACTATATCATTATTGAGCTGTACAAAATATGTAAATGTTACAGAATATTTTGGAAGCCTTTAAAATTCAACAAAAGCAATCTGCAATACACAGTGTGATACCTCAAATATGTAACCTAATTTTTGCTGGAAATTTCTTGAATTCCCTGTGTAGAAGGAGCATTCAATAGCTAGAGCAAACAGTATACTTATATTGTGTCTACAACTTATTTGGAGATGTATTTGGAGAAATCTCAAAAATGCAATTTCTGAAATAGGAATTCTGTTTTGTCATTATTTGAGTCATTTCTGGTTCACACACTTTATTCTCAAAGGCATATTGGAATACAAGTATGTTTGCTCCATTGTATACAGTGTTCATTTTATACAGGACATTTTCTCAAGAGGGTGCAAAATTGTCATTTACACAATTCAAGTCAAAATTGTCAAAATTTTTTTCATTTCCAAGTGGGTGCAAATAGATTTTCAGGGTGCAAGCATTTATTCAAAATCTCAGGTGGGTGCTGCACTCACTTGCTTTAATGCTGGGGAGAGCACTGCTATATCTATACAAAATTGTCGTAGAAGATTCTACCAACATTTATTTATACCGAGATTAGAATTGTCTTTATTGGGTCCACCCTGTGTTTAAAAACATGTATAAAACTAATCTATCAAGAAACGGACATCCAATAAGTAAATAAAACCTGATGCAAGCTATAGGTCATATCTTTATCAATGAGATGGATAAAAAGGTGTTTGATATGGCAATAAATACTAACAAGGATAAAGGTATCTCATACAGTCATATTAGTTTCATCATTTCAAAGACTGCTTTGTTTACTCTGCAACCTGCAATTATAAGATTAATAAATCAAAGCGTTTCTGTTTAATAAATATACTTGGAAGTATTTTTTATTTGCTGTATGATATCAGGAATCTCGAAGTAAATATCTTTCAAGTTCAAAGTGTCAGTAACTTATAAGGGAAGGAGGCTCAACCCAAGAGTACATTACTGTTGATCATTTGGGAGCATTTTGTTGAATAAGTTACAAGACTTACATATTGCTACTGGGTATGTCTTCATTAGCTTTGAATATAAGGATGTGATGGTTGATCTTTGAGAAGTTGTTGATAGATGGAGGGAAGGCTAGAGTAAGAGCTAAAATATAACCATTCTGTTTTACCAGACATCCTCTCGGCTGCCATTGAGAAAGATTGAGACAAAGGGGGTGCAGTTTTATCGTGATACGATCTAACCATACCTCATCAGTTAGTTGGTATGGTTGCAGGGCGTAAGTGAACCCCTCTGGCCAAAATATTCTTTCAAAATCATGCAGTTTTTCACCATTCTGAGCACTTTATCGGTGATTTTGGGCCAAAATGGTCAAATGTGAAACCTGGATTTATTAAAAAAGCGAAACCCCCTTGGCAAAAGCTGAGCCTGAATTGTTCTGAAGATTTCTAAAACATAGCAATATACACAAAAATCCTGTGAATAATAGCAAAATTTACTCTGATGATCTAGAATAACTTTTTGATATTGATATGAAATTAAGAAAATTTTAAAATGTTGATCTTATGTAGTCTTGTAGTCTGGTTACCCTTTGCATTCATTTGACTTCACTTCTAAAAGAGAGCTTCGTCTTTGATGTAGACTCTGCACGCAGGATTTAGTCTAGTGGCATCTAAGAATAAAAAGTAAACGCTGAATATGAGATATATTGCAAACACCTCTCTAATTAAAAAGGTATGCTTAGAAATGTTAACTTCATTTCTTATTTCTGGTGCAATAAGTTACAGAAAGAACTCAACTGTAATTCATAGATCTTTTTTATTGTAAAGGTCACTTTGAACAAAGTTATCCTACCCCCTAGCACTTAACATCTACGCCTTACTGTGTTAATGGTTCAATCAGACAGCATGTTAATCTTCTAGGTTCTGTGGAGAACAAAATCAGTCTGACCCAATTATTAGCGAGCACAAGAGGCAAACTTTGAAATGGACATAGCTCATTTATAATTACAAAAGAAAATATGGGAACAGCATTTTAACACCCCTCCCCCCCAACATATATCAATATCCACATCAGAGAATTGTTTGTTAGTATAGATAGTGGTCTAAATACATATGAGTCCCCCCTCTCCCCTCTTTTACCCAGCATGTTAAGCCTCAGCCACATTTGCTCTAGAAAATTATACATCGTACTGCTTATACCAATATTTTATGCTGCATATTTCTCTCAATTTTGGTAAACTATGACCACTGTATGATTGCTGTAGATCAAATGTGACTGAGGCATTAGTTAGCAACTAAGAGGATACTGATGAGAGGTTCTTTATAAATTTCACAAAGAATAAAACACAAAATTTCTGATTTAAAAACAAAAATACAAAATGGATGTACCTTTTTAGTGCTAGTTATAGCCCTGTATTCAATTTTCCAGGATATGAAAATGGTCAGACTAATTGAATTGGCACAATGATTAAAAATACATTTACATGTTAGGTACTTGACAATAGATCTTTTTAAGGATGTGGTGAATGTTCTTTCTACAATCAAAACATGATCTTAGAGTGGTCTCTTCATATTTAGGCATTTGTATTTTTTAGTATAAGCATTTTCAGATTTTGAACTTTTCTTGCAGTGACATTTCTTCTGAAGTAATCATTCGAGGCACATTAAAGTATTAGAGGAAAATCTGGGAGTTTGGAACTAATTTTACAATGAGCTGTGCCACAGAAAATGCAATACCTTATCCTTATCTTATCTACTCCCTGCGCCCCACATTCCCATTTTCCCATGTTCACAATCATATTGATATGTAAGTTAGAATTCACATCCAACTTTTTACTGACATTTTTGTCCTGTCTTTTAAAGTCTGTAAGTCAGCTAAAAGCGACCCCTTCTCCTATTTCTTGACTCTTGACTACATCATTTCTTCTCACACACACGTTGGTAAAGAAAACAGGAGAGTTGGGGGGGGGGGGGGGTCCAGAGTCTTGAAGCGTTTACCTTTACAGTTTACAACTAAACTGAATCTTTACTCAGAGTAACACATCATGTAAGGTGAGATGTCAAGTTTGGAAACTTTGCTTCAAGCTGATAGAAGCAACCCTTGCAATAAAATAAAGTTTCCCCTTTCTAAAAACACCATTGATAAATGAGAGAACTTATCGCAACATATCAATTATAACAAGACATGATTTCTGTATGAAGAAATGAAATTATTTCGAACTGATATCATATAGATTCATATCAATAGTTCCCCTTTACATATGCCAGGATGATTTATCAGGGAAGTGGTGTTCTTGGCTATCTAAGTTGACATGCTGACAGCTTTTGATTACAGCTTCCTCAGTAAAACAAGTACTTATGCCAGTAAAATGCCACTAAATAATCAATTTACTCTTTCAATGGACCCATAAGAGCATTTACCCTGCGTGCAGAGTCTAGTTAAACTACACTCTGCCTAGTAGAAACCATATTACAGTTTAGTAGCCCCGCCCCCACGATGGGTGCCGGTGACAGTTTGTGTTTTGGCTAAAATAAATTCTGAATTGTCATTGGTCAATTCCGGGCTTAACGATGATGTCAGAAGGAATGATCATACATACTTGTAGAACGTCGGTCAAATTTGGCCGACGAGCACTGATTGGCACGGTGAGTTCACACGTTTATTTTAGTTTGAAAGAGTGAAGACGGAGCTCTCTTTTAAGAAGTGAAGTCGAACGAATGCAAAGGGTAAAGAGCATTCAGGGTTACTTCCATCAAGTTGAGATTCCGTATTCATTATATCCCATTCTGAAAATCATTTTTCCGTTTCACTAAAATTCATGGCTGAGAATTGAGATGATATGGCTTATTAAAATTATATTTTCTTATATATACTAGTTTTTGTCAAATAAAACGATTTAGCCAAAAATGAATGAATTATCTCTAAAAATGAAAGAATAAAATGCTACATTTTACTCAAAATCAAAAACAGATAGATTGACTTTTTTTTAACAGATATTAACAAGATTTACTTATAAGATACAGGCCCGTAAGACACTTTTTTCCAAGGGGGGTGCAGTTTTTAGCTTACTAAAGAAAATATAAAATTGTCAATTTTTTTGCCGCGTAAATCAAATCGCGTAAGACAGAGGCGGGGGGGGGGGGGGTCAGTTACTCCCTATATTGGTTTGGAATTAACAAATGCAACTTCCAAACGTTCCAATTGTTTTGTGGGGGGTGTGAGGAGTGGTCCACTCCCCCTAGAAAATTTTACAGTTTTGAGATGCTATTTGGTGCTTTCTGGGTACTTTCAAAGTGTAAGTTTCTAAGTAGTACGCCACCACCACAAGAATAAGAGTTGAGTGATTAAAAAACTGAGCATTCAGGGGGTCTGGGGGTTCTCCCCCAGGAAAATTTTGAAATTTGCTTGTATTTGGAGCAAATTTGCAACCATCTGGTACGCCTGTGCGTTATGATCCAATAAGAATTTTTTTCAAATTCTTTTGGGGGTGTCAAAGAGGATGAGAGGGTGAAGTGGGGCGGGGTGCCAGTAGGGGAGCAAGGGGTTGTCCCCCAGAAACATTGACCATATCAAGATGCTATTTGATGATGTCTGGGAACTTAAAAAATGTCTGAGACAATACATGAGATTCAGAATATTTTCTTTTGTTTTGTGGGGGATGTGAGGGGTGGCTAACTCTCCTAGAAAATTTTACAATTTAAAGATGATATTTGGTGCTTCTGGGCACTTTTAAAGGTATAAGTCAATAAAAACATTGAAAAACAATCACAATTTTTTTCAAATTTTGGGGGTGTCAAAGGGGAGGAGGGGTGTCAGAGGGGGAGGTGGGGCTGGGGTGCCAGAGGGGAAGCAAGTGTTTGTCCCCCATATCAAAATTTACAATATCAAGGTGCTATTTGATGAAGTTTGGGCACTTTAAAAGTGTCTGTGCCTAAAAGCGCATATTTCCCAAGAAAATTTTACAATTTTAAGATGCTATTTGGTGCTTTCTGGGCACTTTCAAAATGTATGAGTCAATAAAAGTATTTGAAAAATCTCAAGTTTTTTTTGGGGGGGAGGGGGGTGTTAAGGGGGGGGGGCTGCCAGAGGGGGAGGTGGAGTGGGGATGCCAGAGGGCGAGTAAGTTTTAGTCTTCCAGAATCATTAACTTTATCAAGGAGCTATTTGATGATGTCTGGGCAATTTAAAAGTGTCTGAGACAATACATAAAACAAATTCAGAACTTTTCCATTGTTTTGTTTGGGGTGTGAGAGGTGGTCCCCTCCCCCTAAAAAATTTTACAATTTTACGACGCTATTTGCTGCTTTCTGGGCATTTTCAAATTGTATGAGTCAATTAAAGATTTTGAGAAAATCACATTTTTTTGGATGGGGGGGGGGGGGGGGTCAAGGGAGGCGCCAGAGGGGGGGGGAGTTATGCAAGTGCAAGATGCAAGAGGGGAAGCAAGTCCCCCAGAAACACTAACTATATCAAGGAGCTATTTGATGATGTCTGGGCACTTTAAAAGTGTCTGAGACAAAACACTAAAATAAAAACTTTTTCATTGTTTTGTGGGGGGTGTGAGGGGTGGCCAATACCCCTAGAAAATTTTACAATTTTAAGATGCTATTTGGTGCTTTCTGGGTACTTTCAAAGTGT